CAGCCAGTCCATGCTCATACCATTCGAGGACAGCTTCACCAGTTCGAGCATGCCATGACGTAAAGGTTCGACCAGCTAGATGCTCTCGTGGATGCATTTGATGGGCGTCTCTCTACGTTGGAGACCACCACTAACAACATTTCTACTTCGGTGGATTAGGCCACCTTTTAACTTGCACGGCTTCTATGCTACTACCTGTAGCACCCTCCTCCGCCTTCGTATCAGTGATGTTTTCTATTTCTTTGGATTATATCTCTTTTGGACATGGTTTCCCTATTATGGTTGTGTAATATTTGCTCTCCTGGACTTATTTCTTTAGCTATACTTGGTTTTTGGGGTTGTTGACCCATGTTGGGTTATTTTGTTGGTATTTTAGGATATCATGGACAGTTGGATATTGAGTTTTCCTTCTCTTGCCTATTTGTGGTTACTTGTCATCATTTGGGCTATTCTTCATATGTCCCTTTGTCTCCCATGATCAAAAAGGGGGAGAATGATTATTGTTGATACCATAGCATGTGGAGTTTTGGTACTTATATATTCATTCTTGTCTATCCATCTTTTATCTATACGTTGTGTTGATACCATAGAATGATCCTATTTGTTTTTTGTTTTGTTTCTGTTACAGGTGGATCATATCACAATTGGTTAGAGTGGTTAGGGTTGTGTCTAGAGCGTGTGTTTGTTAGGACTTGATTGTTAGAAGTATTTGTTCCGGGAATTACTAAAAGGAGAAATTGTTAGGTCCCTTATTTTGTCAATTCCGCATACAAACACATTTGAGTTGTTTTTGTTGGAGCTGAGATTTCTCATGGACTGCTAGAGCGGTGCTTTGTATGCTTGAGCACTGAAATGATCCACATCCAATAGTTTAGACTTGTTCTGAGATAAAAGGAGGATTCATTCTCCTCTCAGGCAAACTTTCTACCACTCGAGCAAAATCACTTATTGTTCAACCGCCTCTTAGACACACCACTCGAGCTGTGTTTCCTACACTCCAGCGGTCTTCATGACCCTGTTTTGTTTTAAGCTGCCTTAGTTGCAAATTTTAGGGTTACCTCTTTCAGATCTGAGATTGGAGACCTAAGAATTTCTAAGTATCCATCTGAAGAACTTTGCATATATTTTCCCTTGATGATTTCGTGAGCTTGTCGCCTCACATGGATTGGAGAGTATACATCAAGGGGCTTGTTACAAATCTATCTTTCGAATAGCATTCTTCGATGGATTCCGAAAGGTTTGAGATTAAAAGCTTTGAAGGCATTCAAAGCGGCCCATCGTTGTGGATTCACCATGGGTGTTGGGGATTCAACACCAGACTAATTAACTCCGAGACGAGGATGTTGGTGGAAGGGGCACAAGGAGTGGAAGTCAACTCTTGAGTGAGTGCTGGGTAATTGCTTGTACTCATGTGTAATTTCATTATCTTCATAGTGGATTGTTTAGTGGTTTTAAGCACGTGGTTTTTTCTCATAATTGAAGGTGCGCCAATTATGATTTTTTTCCACGTTATAATCTTTCATATTGGTTCATCAATTGTGAAACAACAACCTAAATTACTTTCGTACTTGCTAGCTGATTTAAATTATTTGTTTGTTGTGTTTTATGATTTGTAGTAATTGAATCTATTTCAAATCACGAATCACATAATTTAGGATTTTTTTCAACTATATAAAGTGATATTTGGTGGCATCATTTTAGAAGTACGGATAACTTTAATTTAACAATGTTGTACAATACATGTCTGTTAATGTGTTATAATTTTTCATCGTTAATTAAAAATACCAAGCATATGAAAATATTAAAATTTTCTTCCCAAAATTAAATTTAATGAAACTAATCTCTACTTGATAAAATTGTTTATAAAAATGTTTGATTTCAACGTAATTCCATTTCTCTAATTTTAAAAAACTATATCATATTAGTGTATTTGATATAATTAAATCGACTTCCCTTTTAACAATGCTAAAGAGGCCCAAACTAATGCAAACAATTTGTAGACACAAGAATAAACAATGGTAAAATATATATATATATTTCAGTGTAACTGACATGAAATATCATTTTTTTCATCCATACGACTAACGAATTATTGATGAAAGGGAAATAAATATGTAAATTAAAATATTAAGGGAGACCATTATAATTATGTCAACCTTGTGAATTTAATATAATTTTTCCAAACCTCAAGAAAGGTTAATGGAATTTACCCTATATGTTTTTACTAAATAAAAAATATATTATCTTCAATTAAAAAAAATTATATACGCATTAAATTATACTTTACTTATTTTTTAATCAGCTAGATAAGTATCATTAGGGATTAAAAAATGCCACGATACCACTAACTAAAAATAACATTAACATTTGTTATTAATTTTTTGTTAAATAGGTTATCCGTATCAATTTTGTTATATGTAGGTTCGACACTAATCTGACTTATTTAATATTTATTTTATTGAATCATGTCATATTCATATCCATGTAGAAAAATAATTCATCCGAACACTAATTTTGTGTCCAATTCAAGGTGTGTTATAGTATAATGTCAAAAAATTATACTCTTAAATGTAAAATTTCATTACAAAAAACTTATACATTTATATGTAAGAACTTGTAAATATAATAAAGGGTAATTAATTCATTTTAAATAATGAGGAAATAATAAAATAAAATAAAATGGACGTCATAGTGGTTGGCTTTTACGAGAAGTGAATTTGGAAGCCTACTTGGGTGACTTCTTCGGAATTGACTTTCTACTATCGTGCTTCCGATGGAATGACTTCTGATTACCTTTATCAAACGGAATAAAAACCTTCAAAAGGACTTTAATAGTTTGGAAGGACTTTCAAAAGTCTTGCCAAACGTTACATGTTCAACTTCTTAAGTCAATGGGACAACACAAGGGTCTGTTAAACATCTAATTCAATTCAAAATCTCTTACACCTTTAGATATAACATATGAAGATGTGTGTACCCCAAATGGCATTGCCAGTAAGAGGGCATCACCTGGTATTATTCTGCAAAGTGGAGGAAAGAATAAAACCCAGGCCGTTATCTTCAAAAGCCTAAATCATTGGGTGTAACAGCTACTACTTAAATTTGAATCTAAGGGAGCTGGTTGTATTTAGTTCTTATAAAGGAGGAAGTTTTTATGGCCTTATTCCTATTTTATCTTAGCTATAACCACCATGCACATACATGCATAGACGGGCTCAAGTCATGATGCAGGGCCTAAGAAGCATGGACACGGACACGTGACACGACACGGATACGACACGGACACGCTGACACGTTAATTTTCAAAAAATGAAGGACACGACACGTAGGGGACACGCGTGAAATATGTAATTTTATATATTTATTATATGTTATATATATTAATATATCATTCAAAGATAATAAAAAATGCAATATGACACTAATTCTTATAAATTTATATGATTTTTGTTTTATTATTGTATGTTAAGTTATTTTGTTTAAACTTATAATTAGTTTCACATGTATCCAATCGATAGACACGTGTGTTTATGTGATTGACATGTGTGTCTTCTAAGTATCCAAAGAGTGTTCGGCTGTTTAAAAAAATTTTAAAATTAGGACACGTTTTGAAGAGTGTCGGACACGTGTCCTAAGAGTGTCCAAAGAGTGTCGGTGTCCGACACGGACACGACACGGATACGTCACCTTCTTAGAAGTGTCTGTGCTTCTTAGTGCAGGGCATTTGTCAAGGACTAAGGCTTTCTTGGTGATCACGTCCATTAATCCAAGCAACACAACTTCCTACATCAAAGGGACAGGTACTAAAAGCTAGGAAAGTGACACATGGCGAAGTATAAAGGGCTCTGAAGAACAGGGCAAGATTTGCGTAAAGTAGTTGATGGATTATGGGGATGAATGATCAGAAAATGCTGGAAGTAGTTGTAGAAGTCGAGTGCAACATGGGACACGTGACAACATTTGATTGGGAACATAGGTAAAGAATCACAATTGGATAAACTACCAAGAATAGAAGATTTGAAGGCATGGTAAAGAGTCCAACATGACAATTGACCAATTTATTCAATCAATCTTTCAATTCAACTTTAGCTGAATGCTTCTAATAGCATTCAATCTTTCAATTTATCATTACCTTAGCTTTAGTAGCTTAGTTTTCCTTATCTTACCAATAGCTTTAATACTATTCATTCAGATCTGTAATCGTTACTATTTCCATCAATGGTAACATTTACTTTCTTTGCTTAATTTATTGTCCTTCATTTCAATCATATCAAGGCGAGTCCAACACTTCCACACTTGATAAATAGTGGAGTCTTCTTCATTAAGGCAAGAGAGAACCCGTATGGCTTGCCCCTCAAATCACAAGCTTTCATTTTGATTATAAGTTAGATTCGAGCACATTCGCCCTCAACCACATTTGGATCTCACTTGATCCTAGAGTACCCACACATTCATTCAGCCTATAAGTTTTTTCTCATCTCATTTGAGACGTAACAGAAGAATGATCCAAATTTTCATTCATTTAATTAATTTAAATGGCTATAGAAACTTCTACTCTCTAGATGTCAAAGGAAGCTCCTGATTTCATGAAATGCTCTGTTGTATCTAAGAAGTGTTTGTTCTAGATATCCAGTCTAAATAATATTTCATCTCTATTTGTAATGTATAACAAAATACTGACAAACTACACAGTAAATGCAGTTCTCAATTATATTTTGTTCTTTATAATATCAGATTGAAGCCTCTTTTTACTAATTATACATTATACATAAACAAGACCAAAAAAACTACCACCTCTAGCAATTAAGGCGGGTCATTGGCAAGACAATGATTCAAATTGAAAAAAGCATATATTATTGACAATAATAGAGACAATATATATAAATGTACAAATTCAGTATGGTATTATGCCAAACCATCCAAGATTTTATTTGGATGAAGTAAACCGGATAGATATATATAATTGATGATGAAAAGAGACAGAACAACAAACAACCAACCTGGCGTGAAAGATCAAATTGGGCCAAAAAGACCTCAGCAGCCTTCAGTGTCTTATCAATGTTTTCGTGTGCCCTCCTAATCGAATGCGTCCTTATCTACACAAGAAACCCAAAACTCATTAAAATGATTGATAGATAGATTGTGGGTGTTTGGGAAGTTGCTACTAAAAAGGCTATTTTAGTTTTTGACTATTTTCATAGGTTAAAATTTTTGTGTTCGAGAGAGGATAGTTGGATTTTTATTTTTATTTTTTTTTGTAGTTGTATGTGATGCGTGTGAGAATGAAAATGAAATGATTATGAATTTGATGTGACCTTTTTTTGATTGGTTATTTTAGCCTATTTTGCCATTTTGTAAATTTTAACCAACAAGCTAAAAAAAAGCCCTTGCCAAACACCTATTATTGATAGATCGCAACTCAACACATATGTATCTTTTCCAGATCATGCATATTTATGTGTATGCATGTGTATATACATGTAAGAATATGTGCATTATGAATGTATATGAATATGTGTGTGTGTGTGTGTGTGTGAGAGAGAGAGAGAGAGAGTACCTGAGTAGGGCGCATGGCAGTTTCAAGGGCAGAGAGGCGATGGTCAAAAGAGCCAAGAATGGTGACCATGTTGTCTGTGAAGGTTTGGCTCTTCTGCAGAGACTCCCTCATGAATGTGACCTTCTCGCTTAGTGTTTCCATTACCAGAGAACGAACGCCCATTTCTTCTATATTACTCTCACTCATCATATATGTCTATTTTCTCTCTAACGATGACAATTTAGAAAGACAGACACAAACACACAGAGAGAGAGAGAAATGAAATGCAAAAGAATGCGTATTTTTTGGTTACATAGCGTTTATAGGGAACGACTTCCCTCCTGGCCTTGAGTTCCATAGCTCACCAGACTTTTAGTCTCACCATGCCACCTCTTTCTCTTCCTCCGTTTGTTTGGGTAGAAAAATATGTTTTTAAAAAATAATTTATATATTTTTTTGATATTTGATATAATGAAAAATAAAAATTAATTAAAAATATTTTCCTTAATTTATAAAAAAAAATAAGTTTATATGAATAGAAAATATTTTTCAGACTAAAATCTTATCAATGTCACCACACCACAACCGCGTTTATATGAGAAGAAAATATTTTTCAGACTAAAATCTTATCAATGTCACCACACCACAACCGCCACTCTCACCTCCACCATCATACAACCACCTCAACCTTCATTTTACCACCACTATCACCAAACATAGAAAAATATTGGGGCTTACTTCCCTTCCGTCATTGATCAGATTGGAAGGTACTGTTAGGCTCGTGGCGATTCACCACGAATCCTGTTTCGATAATCTGAACTGTTGAATGTGTAGAACTCGTTGAGTACTATATACTTCAAAAACATTACGTTAATCGGATATCGATAACTACATGATCAAATCAATTTTGTATTAAAAAAATGGAGTGTGAAAAAATAAAAGTTGACAGAAATCTGATCCAATGAGATAGCTATCGATATCCGATCAACGTGATTTTTTACTGACATATAATACTCGACGAGTTCTACACATTGAACGGTTCGGATTATCGAAATGGAACCCTTGGTGGGCCCTCATGGGCTTAACAGTACATTTCAGTCCAATCACAGACTGAAAGGAAGCCCGGCCCAAAAATATTTTCTCCAAAAAATATTTTCTAGAAAAGGTTTTCTATAGAAATTGTTTTCCATTTGAAAATATTTTCTACTCAAACAAACGGAGCGTTACACAGATTTAAAATATATATATATACATATATATATTTATTTAGAGCCGAAAACTAATTTTTAAAATTAATTTACATAAAAATATATGGTGATCTCGCTAAATCATTTGGATTCATGTTTCTTTCAAACAAAATTCTATTCGATTACAAATATCTACTTTCCCATTTTACTTCTGTTGGCTTTTTAGCTTTCGAATGTTATTATTGTAATTGTGAGCGTGCCAGTAAGGATCAATCAGTCCTTACAGAAAATTAATTGCCAACCAATTATTATACGATTGTGTTTTAGTTCTTTCAGTCTCAATAAAGAGGACTTTTACTGGTGGCTTGATTTAGGAGAATTAAGCAAACAACATTCAAATGAAGAACAATTGATGCATCTCATTAAAATGAAAAACTTACAATGATCCAATTCAGCCTCGTAGAGGTTTACAGCAACAATCTACTTGAAACTACTCCTATGAACGAAGTGCAGTGCAGGAATTTTAAAGTACAGAAATGTAAAAAACAGAAAATATAAATCTGGAAAGGAAATAAAGTAGAATAAAACTGGTTTTTTGGATCTGAGTCTGGGGCTTTTTTTCTGGGGCCTTCTCTGCTATTTATACTTCTCAAGGATAACCATCGAACTGCACTTCTAACCATCGAATTGCTCCTCCATGATCGCCGATCATGTTGCCATATAGTTAGCTCTACTACGCCAATACTGCAGTTAGGCTGCCCTCTTGATTTTGAATTTAAATGTGAGTAACCGTTGAAGCCACATCACTTTGCATCTTTTTTGCTGATCCAGTACTACGCAGATCTTATGAAAACCAATACTAACTGCCACGTGGACGATCACGATCGAAGGTTTGAATTATCTTTCCGTATTACCCTCAACCTGCCACGTGTTGAACTGTGATTGACTCTATACAAAATATGTAACCAACATTACCCCCCGCACTAATATACCCAATACTTGGTGATATTAGTGGATCAAGGTATTTTCCCACGTCTTAGAACGTGCATGGGCTTTTGCATTTCTCAGAAATGCATCTGTCATTCATCATTTGCATTAAATTATCATCTAACCCTTGAACACTCCCACTATCTCAGTATTCGAAAAGACTGATACATCTTTTATGGCCAAGCCAATCTTCTCTTCTATTGATCGAGTATACGAGGAGTCATTTGATGATGCTGATCTTCCTCGAAAGAACCTTCATGCATTGATTAGCCACCTTTACCCACTTTCCTATATTCAAGTCATGGAAGCTTTTGAAAACTATTAACCTTTGGATTACATACTCGCTACTCATAATTCTCTAACCCAAAATTTTACAAAAATAGACATTGGAAGCTCTTATTCTAATCCACAATCTTCTGCATGGGATGAGGCTGTGGCTTCTTCTTCCTCTGGGGCTTCTGGTTGGAGAAGCTGGTCGGAACCTGATGCATGTGAGTTAAGGGAGCGAGTTAATCATCACTTTGTCAAGTTCACTGATCCCCTAGAATTCCCTTCTGATGCTCGAAGTTCGGTGGTTTATCCTTACGTGCCCATTGACCGCCGATGTAGTTTAGAGGACAATCTGTTTGTAGCATGGTACACATCCTCTATGCCTACAAAGATAGTACAAGCTACTCGACGCCCAGAAGAGGCACAAGGGTATAACCCATTGTTCTTAGCCCAGGAGGCGAGGTTTTGCTTTTCTAACTAGCTTGATTGTGTTAATGCCCCTAAGTTTCCTCCTTCTTTCAAAATGGAAACCTCTATACCTCCTCCTCCGCAAAATCCCTACTGAACAGAGAGACTGAGGCTTACCTTCTCTGCGGACAAGGTTTTTCCTCATTATAAGCCTCTACCTTCCCCTACTCTAGTTCAGCGAAAGCAAGCCCAACTTTTACTTGTGGTCTTTTCTCACTTGCCTTTCAATGTTCTTGAAGATGATGTTCCTCTCAAGAACCTTCGATAGGCTTGTGATATTATGACTCGGGGTCACATCCTCAACCCCATCGCCCAAGCAGAACTCCAAATGTTTTTGGACCAACTTCCATTGCTTCTCCATTGGCACCGAACTTCTGTGGCCACCACCTAATCTTTAAACCAACTTTCATCCCTTCGAGTTCATACCTAGTACAAAGTAGAGAACCTCATCGAAGAATACGATGATTTCAAGAAAAAAGACTCTGCGTACTAGGATGACTTGAATATGGACAAGCTAGAACAAGGGTTAAAAGAAACAGCGTTCGAAATAAAGGTTGAAAAACTCTTTTATCAAGTAAGAGCACATCAACTTCAGCAACCAAGCTTGGAGAAAATAGAGGATAGAATAAAAAAAGAATAGAAATTTATCGACCATAGTTGGACTAAATTTCATGATCTTGTTATTTATTCTATTCCTTACTTTTATGAACTCGAATTTGTACCCAAGTAGGGCCTTTTGATGTAATTGCTTTTGTTTCAATATAGCTAAGACTTTTCTCTTTGTTTAGCATGGTTTGACTTTATCTTTGTTTGTCTTTATAAGCAAATTTAGGGCTTCGAACTCCACAATCTCATCCTTCGACTCTGGATTCAATCATATCAAATGAAACACTGAAAAACCAACATGAATTGTCCAATTCATGGAATACAGTTGACAACTTTTGCTGGTTTCCATTTAGAATCAGTGCTTCGAATTTAACAACATTGCCCCTTAAAGCTTATTTTAACCATATCCAACATTTGGTCATGGTTAGTATGATCAATCAGTTTAAAATTGACCATTTTTGCTTCGAACAACAGTCCATACTTTCAAAAATATGGAACCTCTCTCAAGGGCTACACTGTTTTAATCCGAAAAAGCAATCTTTTCTGTATATTATTAAACCAACTATTGGTTTTGATACTTCGAACAACAATTCTCATCCTTAAGGGATCTCAAGTTTTGCTTCGAAGGATACTACTCTCATTAAGAAATCTAAAACAGGTCTTTAATCCCCTTCGAAGTAAACAAATACTTGAACATTCTTACATCCTTAGGTGTAGAATGTGCTTCGAAGCAAGCTTTCGACATTCGAAGCCGTTTGTCATTTCATTTTGGCGCCAAAAATTGGCTTCGAAGCCAAATATTTTATTTCGAAGCTGACATTAGTATTTGAGATGTGTTTCCCTCCAGAAATTATCAATATTAAGGGAAACTCTTCACATCCGTACTTTTAGTACTTCTTTACAAATTCTAGACACAAAGGTTTTAAAACCCTTTTATTTTGTGCTTTGAATTCACTCGTTTGCTCAACACACAAATCTTTCCCCTCTATTAACCCTCTCTTCTTTGCTGCTTCCCACCAATGGATTCTTCTTCTGTGAAAGCACCAACTGGCGATTGTATAAGTCCAACAATGGCTTTGAAGAAATGTATTGAGGAAGAGATCCCCAAATTTACAGCTGATGGGTCAAGCGTCATAGACAGATGCCTCTTTGTTCCTCGCCATAGTGACAAACAAGAATATGTCCTAGGTCCCATATTTCGAGAAGCTCCCGCTCAACTTCCAGCTTTATGCCTTCGTTTAGAGGACCACTTTCTTCTCTACGAATGGGGGCTCGACTAGGGAAATTGGAGAATGAACCGACCTCACCATTGCTGGCCGACATTGAGGGCTGAGTGGGAGGAATGGTATGACAGAGTTGTGCCTGCAAGAGAATGTGACCTACAAGAGCTTTGTATTCTCGACACCTTTCGTTTTTCCAGGTTTATCATCCCTAAAAACCCTTTTTTGATTCCCGCTGCTCTTTGCTTTTGGAACATGGCTTTTAATTTCTTTTAGTTTCGATGTGGCATGATGGGCCCCACCGTTCTTAATATCTGCCATCTCTTAGGGCTTTCACCACTTGGCACTCCTTTTATACCCAGCTACCCAAACCTTTCTGTTAAGTTTTTCCTTGCACCCTTAAATTCCTCCTTTAGTGATTTTGTAAAGGCTGAAAAAAAAAGGGAAGGTCCCGTGAGAGATCGAGAACTCTTTTCCTTTATTTTATACTAGTTGTGTAAATTTCTCTTTTGTACATCATCTCAGCGGATCATGCCTGAATTCGCCCCACTTGCGAAGGCCCTTGTTTTGAAGAAACGCATAGCTTTCGCCCCTTATCTCTTAGGCCATGTTTATAGAGCCTGCTCCCAATTTTGTGACAAACCTCTTAATATCAACCAAG